CCCTGAGGAGGCGTTCAGTGTGGGGGACAAGCTGTTCAGACAGCAGAGTGTTCCTGCCGCCTCCAGCTTCAACTCTCCCGGCCAGCACTTGATGGAGGACAAGGCTGCCCTGCCACCTGTTCCAGCAGAGAAGTTTGCCTGCCTGTCCCCTGGCTACTACTCCCCTGACTATGGCCTCCCCTCACCCAATGCTGCCATGGTCAACAGCGCACCTTCCCCAGAGGCCATGTTCCCTGGCCTTCCAGCCAAGCCCTCCCCTGCCACTAGGGGCGACCTCTTGGCCCCAGCCATCAAGGGGGCCCTGCCCCCGGACCTGGGCCTTCCTCTGGATGCCACAGAGGACCAGCAGGCCACAGCAGCCATCATCCCTCTGGAGCCCAGCTACCTGGAGCCCTTGGACGAGGGCCCCTTCAGCGCTGTCATCACCAAGGAGCTGGTGGAGTGGGCCCATCCTGCCGCGGAGCAGGCCCTTTCCTCCACCTTGGTGGCCAGTGCCTCTGAAAACCCCGTCAGCTGGCCCGTGGGCTCCGACCTTCTGCTGAAGTCTCCACAGAGGTTCCCAGAGTCCCCCAAACACTTCTGTCCTGCAGAGACCCTGCATATCACTGTTCCAGGACCCTTCAGCACCTCAGAGGCCCTGTACCCCGTATCCCCCAGCTCCTACCCCTTGCCAGCCACCGAACCGGGCCTGGAGGAGGTCAAAGATGATGGGGCGGGAGCCATCTCTGTGGCCGTCTCCACCACAGAAGGGGACACTGCGTATGCCACCCCTGCCAGACTGGAGTCTTTCTTCAGTGGCTGCAAGTCACTTCCTGAGGCACCCCTTGACGTGGCCCCTGAGCCCATGTGTGTCACCATGGTGACCCAAGTGGAGGCTCTGGGGACCCTGGAAAGCAGCTTCCTGGATGGTGGCCACAGCCTGTCTGCCCTCAGCCAGGGGGAGCCAGTGCCCTGGCATGACGCCTTCACCAGCCCCGAGGATGACCTGGACCTGCGGCCCTTCTTGCTGCCCGATCTCCCCCTCCAGCCCAAAGACTCCTCAGATGTCCAGATTGAGCCCGTGGAAGGGAGTCCTGTCCCACCAGAGGAGAGCGCCCCTGGGGCTGAGGGGCAGCCCATACTGCCTCCTGACCAGGCCTCTCCCCCACTTCCCGCAGAGTCTGAGCCCTCAGAGGAGCCAAAGCTGGACGTGGTTCTCGAAGCCGCGGTGGAGGCAGAGACTGTGGCAGGCGAGAGGACCCCCGAGGACTTGGACTCTGGCTCGGCACTGGCCCCTGGCCTTCCCGAACAGTGTCCCCTGGGGGTCGGAGCTGAGGAGACCAAGACTGAGGACCCCTCTACCTCCCCATCATGTACCCCACGGCCCTGCCACTGATGGCACGGCACAGACGCCTGACAGTGCTGAGGTCACACCTGCTGCCATCCCTGTGGATGGGACCCCAGGCAGCCTCCAGCCAGAAGCTACAGATCCAGAGCCCAAGCCCACGGCCTAGCCCCCGAAAGCCCCCAAGGTGGAGGAGGTCCCTCAGCGCATGACCAGGAACTGCGCTCAAATGCTGGCCAGCCAGAGCAAGCAGAGCACACCTACTACGGATAAGGAGCCCGCCCCCACGCCCACTCCAGCTGCCAGGGCCAATGGCTGTGCCTCTGAGGAGGAGGATGCCCAGGCCCAGCACCCCCACAAGCGCCGCTTCCAGTGCTCCAGCCAGCAGCTGCAGCAGCAGCTGAACACAAGCACGTAGCAGATGCGGGAGGTCATCCAGCAGACGCTGGCCGCCATTGTGGACGCCATCAAGCTGGACAACACTGAGCCCTACCACAGCGACAGGTCCAACCCCTACTTAGAGTACCTCCAGATCCAAAAGAAGATTGAGGAGAAGCGCAAGATCCTCTGCTACATCACGCCCCAGGCACCCCAGTGCTACGACGAGTACGTCACCTACACCGGGTCCTACCTCCTGGACGGCAAGCCGCTCAGCAAGCTGCACATCCCTGTGATTGCATCCCCCCTTCCCTGGCGGAGCCCCTGAAGGAGCTGTTCAAGCAGCAGGAGACGGTGCGGGGAAAGCTGCTTCTACAGCACAGCATCCAG